AGTGAGAAGGCTTCATGGTGACACAGAAGGAGCCTCAGGGTTCCCTGATCGGGGCTGTTGGTCTGGGGAGCCTGGAAATGGGCTAACTAAAAACACGGCATCTTATGTGCTTGGCCAGGGTGCGTATTTGGTTTTGTCTGGTTGGTCTGCAATTGAAATGAGGTAAAAACCGGGAAACCTGTTAGCTCTTCTTAATCAGGCCCTTGCCATGTGGGGTCAGTCCTCAACTGGCATTATTTGTTTGGCTTCCTGGACTGAAGAACCAAAAAATCCACAGCTTGTCTAGATTTTAGAGAGTACACTGACTCCCTGAACCTGCTGCTCTCTTAGGTAGTTCTTTGACTTTCAGAGCTGGTAACGATGGGTGTGGGGGGACTAGTTTCCGGAGCCAGCTATTGTGGCTAGTGGGTTAACTCCCAGGGCTGGCTCAGGTGGGTAGAAGGGTTGGTTGCTACGGATTTCAAATCATAGCTCTGTTTCTGTAGAGAAGCTGGCCACTGTCTGAATAGTCCTTCTCCCAACCTAACCTTTACTGGACCCATTTGTACACACACATCAATAAGAAAATGTGAAAGGTACTTTTAAAAATATGACCAGGTGAAGTAAGAGACAACTTCAGCCTGAGGTTACTGCCTTCTTGTGCTCGGGGAAGAGGGGGTACATATAATGTCTGTGTGGGTGTGTGCACGTGGATCTGTATGCTTGTGTGTACCCATGCGGGGGCCGCGTTTTCACTTTAAGTGTCTTACTTGTCCTCCCCATCCTAGCTTTTGAGATGTGGTCTCTCACTGAACATGGAGCGTGCTAACTGACTAGATTCCCCAGCCAGTTAGCTCTAGAAATCTGCTTGTCTCTGCCCCTCCAGTTCTGGAATTACAGACATATGCTCCCACCTGGACTTCTCTGTGCATCGTGGGGCTCTAAACCCGGGTTTTTACACTTGCACAGCAGGCAGGTTTTTCGACTGAACCCAGGCCCCTAGTCGGGTTATTTCTGTAGGTCATTTCCTGTTCTCTGGCTATAAATGTGACCTATCGAGGGAGGGAGACACTCTAGAACATCTTTGCTCTGAAATGCTGCCTCGCTCTGGAAGCTTTTCTGTTCAATGTACTTTGTTAAATTTAACTGATCTCAGTGTGTGTGTGTGTGTGCCTGTTTGCGTAGTGCATGCATGTGAGTGGGTGTGTGTCTGTGTGTATGACTGTGTGTGACCATTGCAGAGGCCAGGCCAGGACATTGGGTGTCTTCCTCTATCGCTCTCCACCTTGTTGCTCTGAAACGCGGTCTCTCACCGTTTCTGTTAGGCTGCCTGGTCCGTGAAGTCTGTGTGTTGTCCCCCATGTTGGGGTAACCGGCATACACGGCCAGGCCCAGCTTTTCACATGTGTGCTAAGGGTTCAAACTCAGGCCTCACGCTGGCCGAGCCCCCTGAGCCCCCTCCTTGACTGTTTACTCGCTATTTTTGAAACAGAAGCTCACGCAGCCTAGAGTGAGCTGAGCGGCTCACCCCATCAGCTGCTGGGATTGCAGGTGTGAGTTAGCACAACTGTCTTTCATCTTTACTCTCCTGATCATTTTCTCCTCCTAAGGTCACACTATCCTTAGTGCCTTCCTCCTCCTTCTTCTCCATGCCAAAAAGGGACCTCTGAGAAGTTCACCGAGGGCAAAGACTCGGGGATTCCCCAACCCAGGGCAGTCATTTCCCAGTATTGTGTCCGTCCTTTCTCAATTCCTTCTCACAACACATTCTTGGTTTCTTCATCTTTGGGATCTCTGTCTCAAAGCCTCTTGACTTATCTCACCTTAGTCACCAAGCATAACCTGGGTTGTCACCAAGAAAGCTGGGTGTCATCCACCCATCTAGCCTCTTGGCAAATAATTAATTTGGGATTATGGCATTTGGGTAAGTTTCAAAATAGGTTTACAACATTTTCTAAGATGTCTAAATTGTAAAAGGCATAGTAATAATTTTCTTAAATATATAAATTTATGATTTAATTTAATAATTAAACCATCAATTATTAAATCTACTAATTAAAATACTGATTAGTCACTTTAATAATTGAGTTATTCATTATTTAATGTAATAGTTAAATTATTAATTCCTTAACATTATTGACTATTCATTGATATAATCAATTAATTAAAATCTTCATGAACATTAACTTTTAATCTTTAAAGGTAACAGTCACCTACCTATAAACCTCTTCCCCACTAGATAAAGCTTGGAAACAAAGTTCAGGTCAGATTACATGTATGTTAGTACAATTGATGATGAAATTTCACTAAAATGAAATTACTATTTTTATTTTGGAAAGTCTCCAAAAATGACAAGATGATAGAAATCCTGTCTGAATGGCCACACTCTGACATCCTGGGTGAGACAGTCTGTTTTATGTCTACTGAACTAGGCTGCCTTACCCGTTTTTGGTCACATAGCCTTGTAGTTGTTACTGTGATAGTATTTTTCGGGTGTGATTAACATTTAAAACAACGTTTGAAGTTGGGTGGTGGTGGTGCACACCTTTAATCTCAACTCTCAGGAGGCAGATGCAGGCAGATCTCTGAGTGTGAAGCCAGCCTGGTCTACAGAGTGAGTTCCAGGACAGCCAGGGTTACACAGAGAGACCCTGCCTCAACAAAGAAACAAACACACAAAACCCAGCATTTGAATGAGGAGACTACCTTTTACAGTGAGCATGGGCCTCCTGCGGCCACTGAAGGTCCTAGAAAAGAGCCCCCTACCCAGAGAAAAGACCTGTTTGTATAAAACCGAGGTACTCAAAATGTGGCCTCAACTTGCCCCCTAGTCTCCAGCCTGGTGTCCTGTCCTGCAGATTTTGGACTTGCACTGCTTTGCCGTCTGTCTGTCTATCCATCTCAATAGCCTGTTTTCTACAGAGAACAGTGTCTAATGCGCTCCGCAAGATCCAAGAAGTGCAAACAAACCCCACGCTCAGCACAGGGAGCAAAGTAGGCAACCGGGGGAAAGTGTGCCTGCTTCCTGCTCTGCACTCAATATTCCGTTAACTCCAATTCCCTTTTCTGACTGCTAACACATACATGTTTGTTGTGTGGTGCCAGGGCCTCCTGATGTCCTCAGCAAGCACAGTGCCCCTTAGCTGCTGCCTAAGTCCGTCATTTATATTTGTTGACCAAGGAATTTTATTTTAGCAGGTGTCCCTCAACTTGTGTGTGATGCAATTGGCATCCTAAGCTTTTGCCTTCAGATTGTATAAAGACAAGTTTTAACACTGCATGCTTACAAAGAATGTGCTGTCATCCCAGGAGAGATGGCTCTATCTGGCGTATCCTGACTGCATGTCTTAGATAAGCCTATGGGGTGAGGCAGAGCCAGGTTCTAGTGAGTACAAAGCTAACGAAACTTGGAGAACAGTTTTTAGAGAGAGAGGGGAAAGAAAACCAATTTAAATCTTCATTTTTATGGGATGTTCTGTGATATACAAATTATCAATGAAGGTTTGAATGCTGCCCCCAGTGTCAGGAACACAGTATAACATGAGGAGGGTTAAAGCTTAAGTTTTCTAAGTCTCAGGGACAATTAAGTTATGGCTCTAGGCTTTTGGGGGGTAGAAAATGGCTTTTGCTTTGATTGATCTCCACTGTGCTGATCAGTGTGTTACTGCCAGAGCCTTGACTCCACTCTCTGATAGTCTCCAGAAACCATCCTCCATGCTCTGCAGATCACTGCTTCTTTCTGGGGTGCCTGCAGCATTTAAAAATTGCCACCTTGTCTGCTGTCTGCAAACCTCTGAGCTTCTGGAGTTTCTCAGTCCTTCAAGTAGAGCATTCCTGGCTGTGTGGAAAAGGTCAGTGCCGTGGCTTCACGGTGTCCACTTCTTTCAGCTAGCCTTCCTCCACTTGCCTGACTACCACCTCCTCCCATCCTGCCATCTCTACAAACCTCCAGATGTTGGGTGTCGGCATCTCATTTGGAGACATCTATAGAGATCATTGGTCCCATCCCCACTTGGTGGCTGTTTTTCCCCTCCCCTGTTTTCTCAAGTGAGATCCAACCTCTCCTTTCATTTCCGCCCCAGAAGCACTCACATAGGATATAAAACACATAATTTTTGAAGGAGCTGAAACAAGTTGTCTTGTATCACAACAAAACAAAGCCACTTCAAATTATTTGCTTTCTTTTTTTTTTTTTATTTTATTTTGCAGGGCTAGAGACTGAACCCAAGTTCCCAAGCTCACCAAACAAGCACTCTACCTGTGAAATGCATGCGAAGTCCTTAACTTTGCTTAAACATTTTAATTACATTGTGTTATATTTAGTGTGTGTGTGTGTGTCAGGGGATAGCTTTCAAGGACCAAGTCTCTCCTTGAGCACTTTGCATCTCAGGAACAGACCCTGGGTCCTCAGACTTGGAGCAGGGGCCGATAACCCTCTGAGCAGCTCAGCAGCCCTATAATTACATCGTAACCACCTTATTACAACCACCATCAAGACTTCTTCCCAGGACCCTCTATTCTGACCCGAGCCCTTGACCTGACCCCCTTTCCAATGTGACCAACTTCCTCATCCCTACTTTCTCAGAAGTCAGAAGTAGACTTACTCGGTATCTTTCTTTCTTTCTTTCTTTCTTTCTTTCTTTCTTTCTTTCTTTCTTTCTTT